TGAAGTTCAGATCTCCTTGAGATTGTCGGAATCTTCAAATGGAATTCTTGAAGCTCCTGATTCAGATGTAGAGCAAGCTCCAGTCTTCTTACCCATCTCAAATGGTGAACAGCGACACAATACAGGAACATTTGGTGGGGCAGGGCAAGTGGGGCAACATTGCTCACCTGGCTTCCTAATGCTGAACACTGCTGATTGTTTCTGAGAGGGAGATGGAGAGGAGCAAGGCAGTGGAGAGCTTGCTGCAGGTGCTGCAGGGGAAGCCTAGAATTGACTCCACCACTGATTCTGTGCTGCTCTGGCACTGCAACAAACTCCCAGCCACAAACTCTCAGCGTTAAGAAGTCAGGTGAGCAATGTTGCTGCACCAATATTGTGTCGATATTCACTCTTTGAGATGGGTGGACGCTATTTGGCATAGATGGAGCTTGCCTCAAATATGTAACAGGAGCTTCCATAATTCCATTTCAAGATTCAGAACCCCCTTAAGGAGATCTAAACTTTTAAAAAATGCTCAAAGGGCTTCTCCTTCGTTCCTTCTTCCTTCCTTACTTACTTTTTTCTTTTCTTTTTCAGTACTCTGCCTCTTGCTATCTCATCCCTATTTCTGAAGGGGAGAGGAAACTCAGCTTTGGTTATAGGAAAAGGGTATAAGTCTACAGGGAGTTATGATGTCTTTTTCCTGCAAGGGAAAAGTTCATTCCTTCATTTGAAAAAAAAAAAGACTGTCAGCATTACTTGGACAGCAGTTATGGAAGAAGGAGAGGCCTAATAATGTTTGCCTATCTTCCTGCTACTGTTCTCCAGGGTTGCTTGATGATGATGATGATGATGATGATGATGATATTTATACCCTGCCCTTCTGCTGGGTTCCTTAGGAAGAATGAAGTGGCAACAAGTGGATGAGTGCCAGCAGAATTAAAGCAGAGGGCCATTTCACAACAGACTGTACTCCCCTCAATTCTGCTTGCAAAAATTAGAGCAGACCAATCTCTGTATACCTGTGAAAGCACACACATGAACACCAGTTTCAATACCTTTGACATGCCTATTCACTGTTGAATCATTCTAAGGCAATTTGGATGAAGCTGGAAGAGAATGTCCCTGGTGTCGTATTAGCTTGCAAACTAGAGCACAGTTTAAGAACATTTACATCCCCCTACAATCAGTGTGTCTTAAAACACAGTTGACAAGATGGTGCTGGATCATGCCCTGAAATCATCAGCTATGTTCTCATCTTGCTGTTGGCACTCCTGTCACAGCTGTTGGCCACCAGCTTTTCTAATGGGGGTGACAGAAGGCACAGCATCCCAAGGGAAGGATTATTTCTCTTTAAAGTATATCCAGAGACAAACAAGATTAACATTCCTATCCTAAGCATATTACTTGGAAGTAATTCTCATTGATTTTGAAGTAATGTGCTTAGGATCAGGATGACAGACAGATGCAAATGTATTTGGGTAATGCAAGAACAAGTTTTTTTAAAAAAAATAATAATAGTGAATTTAAAAGTAACCCGATACTTGAATTTAGGAAGTTCCTGTATAAAATTAATTCTGGCAAGCTGCTTTAAAGTAAAGATCCCTTTCCTCTACTCCCAACATGCATCAAAATGCCCCTTGTGGCAAAAACATTTGAGCCAAAAAAAAAAGGCTGAACTGAATATTCACTCATTTGGGCTTTGGGTTCAAAAGCAGTTCTTTCATGGACCCCAAGATATTTCCTTTAAAAAACCCCAAAACAAAAACAAACCAAGGATAGAATCCAACGTAGCACTCTCATTCTGTCAGTGCAAGGATTCCTCCTTTTGCAGCTGAATGTTATCCCCTTCTCCTTTCCTGTGCACCCCCAAAATCTGAGCTTCCCCAACCTTCTGGAGTACATCTGGGAAGGATGCAGGGCACATGCAGGAGAGAAGGAGGAAAGTCCATGATGGGATCTGGAAGTTGAATACTGCTCCTACACATTGTTCTTTCTACTTTATTATTGTTTGCTGTTACTCTACCCTCAATGAGCCATTCTCTGTGCCATTCTCTCCTGTGCATTCCAGGCATCCTTATCCTTCAAAGAGTGTCCAAAACTAATCAGGAATCATAGTAGCAATGAAGATGTCAGATGCTATACAGCCAATCATATTTGCCCTAAATGGCTTCAGTCCTGTATACCTGAAGGGGTGTCTCCACCCCCATCATTCAGCCCAGACACAGAGGTCCAGCGCCAAGGGCCGTCTGTCGGTTCCCTCACTGCGAGAAGTGAGGTTACAGGGAACCACACAGAGGGCCTTCTTGGTAGTGGTGCCCGCCCTGTGGAACATCCTCCCATCAGATGCCAAGGAAATAAACAACTCTCTGACTTTTAGAAGACATCCAAAGTTTTAAATATTTGATGTTTTATTGTATTCAGTGTTTTAATTTGTTAGAAGCTGCCCAGAACGCACAACACACAACACAGTCAGATGGGCGACATATGAACATATTAACAACAACAACACTTTTATTGGGCAGCATATAGATGCTCTTAATGAATAACTAATAATAAATAACCAGTTTAAGAAATCTGATTTACACCCTAATTCCCTTCTGTTCTGCTTTACTCTAAAGTAAGTTCACCTTGCAGCCTCGAGGAAAATGTTTCCTGGGCTGAGCACCTGAGTGATCCTAGCTAATCAGATTGTGAAACAATTCATACAAAACATACTCAAGGCAATGCTTCCTAAATAGGTGAATGCTTCCCCTTCTTTTGCAGCGATGCACAACAAATCATATTTTCATTTCCCCCTTCCCTTTCTAGCTTAGCCCTCTTCATGAAAGGCAATATAGCATTGAATAGCAGCCGCAAAATAAGCAACGTTTTCTGGGTCTAAGACTGTGCAATTTCTGCTTTCTTGCTGCCTTGCAATTTACAAGTGATTGCTAACCCCTAGTGGCAGCTTTACAGGGAAGTAGTTGCTCCTTCTAGCTGTAGCCAGCCTTTGACAAACAGCTAATGGATTGCAGAAAGAATTAGTGGCACATAAAAGCCCACAATTCTCCTTGTTGAAAGGGAATTGTATGTGGGCATAGACGCGTGAATGGATTGGTCATGTTGCCTGTCATGAATATTTTTCAAACATTTACACTGGTGAAGAAAATGCAAAGTTTGTTGGGCAGATTAAATCCCCGCTTCGTGATTTCTCTTATTTTGGGGTAGAGGTAGGGAAGGGCACTTTAATTGTTAAATACCATAGAAGAGTTTATTATATAATGCAGTCTGAATGTAGCTGTGAAGTACTGATTTAATGGTCTATTTTCTTCATGTAAGCCAAAAACTTAATTATTACAGCTTCATAATTTCATGAAGTAGAGCATGCATAATCAGGATGTGCATTGTGCACACACAAACACAACCACGCGAACACACTTGCATGCAGACGCACTTTCAATCCTGCATGACTTGAGTATGTAATCCTACTAAAGCCCTATACATGCATTGATAGAGAGAGGGGTGGGGCCCCACTTTAAGCCCCAACACTAAATCTTCCACCCTCAACTGTGCATTGCCCAGAGTTGTGTACGAAGCACACACAACACATGAGTGCTTCCTGCACAAGAGCAGGGACTGCATATGATTCTGACACTCAATTGTGACTGACAGGTCAAGCTCATAGTCAGAGGGGCTGATTTTACCTAAAACTGCCCAGCTCCAGTGCTTTGGGGGAGGAAAGTGAATCCCTTTCAGTTCTCCCTACAAATCAGCTTTAAAAACACAAAAACCACTGGACCAACCTGACAGCAACTTTTTTTTCAGGTATACTCTCATTGGAAAACCATTGTGTTTATCCTTCTGAAATATGACAGGTTTTGTTTTTAGTAGAGGCTACTTTGCCCGCAATTATTTCAAATTCTATAAATCAATAATTAACTTATAGGCAGGGCCAGCCCACCCATAAGGCAAGGTGAGGTGACTGCCTCAGGTGGCAGAATCCACAGAGACGGCAGATCCAGTTTCCAAGGAATGCATTGGCTGCCATTACTCCTGCAGGGCCAATGGCAGCTGCAGTGATGCAGCACGCTCTTTGAAGGCCAGATATGCTACCTCCTTGGCAGCCCTGCCCCCAATGTTGCCTCCATAGTGGCCTCTTGGTGGCGCTGCTGGTTTCCACCCTCCTGCTGCTACCAATGATGATATTTATTCCCCACCTTGTTCCTGTTGTAGATCTTCACGCCCCACTTTTTCCATGGTGCAGCCAGGGCATTTTGTGATTCATTTCAGGTGCCAAACATCTTGGACTGCCGCTGGTTATAGATGCCCCTCCATCCATATGCAAATAAAAATAAACCCTGGACCTATAGTTCCCTAGTTTGGCAAGCTTAATGCACCCTGGTAAAGGAGGGGTTGACTATGCCTATAAATTATATAAATTTCTCTTGGAAGGAAAAGTTGTGGTTGGTTTTTTAAATTTCCCAATAGTGAATAGAGATTGGGGGAAGGCCTTTCCTCTAACTTATGAGGCCTTGGACCCTGAAGAAAACTGGGCATTGAAGAAAGAACAAATGAATGAATAAATGTGAATTCTAGTGAAATAAAAACTGCTAATTTATTGAGTATATACCACTGATAATTCATTTCCCCCAAAGCATAAGAAAATGTTAATTGTGTCATATGCACTAATATATTAAACTCTATTGAAAAGTGGGTGCTGTATTAAATAAATATGAATCGATTACAGAATTCATCATGAATATATCTCTTCCATTTTCCTCTGTATGAAAACTGATTTTTATTTGATTTTTACATTTGATGAAAGAATTCTCAGGAGTTAATTATTTCTTCTCTTTGCCTTTAAAATTAATGGTAGTATGGTTGTTTTATAGCCATTGGTAACCTTTTGCTGTATATTGATCTGCTGTTTTTATGAGGATGTGGATGACACTCTTTGCTGTAAATATTGCTAATAATACGTGGAGGAGACTTGGTGGAGAATATAAATTTTGATCTTAGTACAGTCATTCTGATGCATTGGATAGCTCAGTCGGTAGAGCATGAGACTCTTAATCTCAGGGTTGTGAGTTCAAGACCCATGTTGAACAAAAGATTCCTGCATTGCAGGGGATTGAACATGACCCTCACTGTCCCTTCCAACTCTACAATTCTATTATTCTTTATTAGACAAACTTTTCTGAATACAGGTTTCGACTTGCCTGCACAGGAGTGGGCGACCAATATGACCCAAGTGGTCCACTTACTAAAGGAAATGATCAGCTTTAAAATACAAGGTGGAAGCCAAAATGCTTAGGAGAGAGGAGTTCATTCTGAAGGGCTACTCTTCACATTAGCTGGTAGAGAGAAGCAATCTCAAAAGACAGCAGCTTATTTGTTAAGTACAATTGTCACAGCAAGAATGAGGCATCGATACTTTGTGATCTATGAACTCCACCAGACGAATCGGGACTCAGCTAGAAAGAAAGAAATGGTAAAGAAAAAGCCATTTATATGTACTGTATGTGCGATATAACATTGTGCCACCAGATGGTGATGTAGAGTCCCGTTTTTCTCTACCTGTTTTCCCCTGTTTAAATTTACAATGCTTTAAACTGAAATGCTTCTTTGATGTGTCCAACCTTGGTTACTAGGCTGAATAAAAGGTGTTAGCATTTATGCATCTATGAAGTTGTGAGCCAGTGCTCTCTGACCTTTGCTGGCTGTAAACAAGAAAATGGAGCAAGGCAGCCTCTGAAGGAAACCTCACTCGTTATATTCAAGGATGAACAATTTTATGGTGGGAAATAAAACAACCGAGGAGTCAGTATGCATCTGTAAATGAGTGTGTGAGGTACTTTTTCTCCAGCAGTCTTCCACATTTGTCAAAGAAGGAAATAAGGAGCTTGATTCTAGTGTGGGCCAACTCCAAATTAATCCTTGTGCTAGTAATATGATTTACAGATTATGGTTGATGAGAGAGTGGGAGGACACTCTACTAGTACTTTTTGAAATAGTTTATGTTATTCATTTCCTCACATTTATATCTTTCTTCCAATGTTGAATCAAAGGTGGCATACATTTGCTACCCAGGCATTCACTGAACCAAGTTCCAAGTACAGCCTACCTTGGTTCTCAAATTTAATCCATTCCGGGAGTCCATTCAACTCCCAAAACTGTTCCAAAACCAAGGCACGGCTTCTGATTGGCTGCAGAAGCTTCCTGCACTCAAGCGGAAGCCGTCTTGGATGTTCTGCTTCCAAAAAAGTCTGCAAACCAGAACACTTACTTCCGGGTTTGTGGCGTTTGGGACCCGATTTGTTCGCGTGCCAAGCCATTTGAGAACCAAGGTACCACTGTACTGGCAAGACCTGGACCTGCTTACCTTCAGCATGGAGGCTGCAGACCATTTACTGGGACCACTGTACTACTGCTTTGTTAGCTGTCGTACTAGGGCATCAATGAATGATCCAGTGCCAGAGTCTCACATCTGAGCCTCAGAGTAGCCCTTTTCCATGTTACACATGTTGAACACCCATCAGTTGCCTGGAGTAGCCCTGCTCCTGATATCCATTCATTCAGCATCCATGTCTGAAAAGTGACCCATGAACACATATAATTTCCTCTTCTGAAGGTCCCACTCAAGCTCAAAGCACGAATATCAGGGGGCAGGGCTAGTCTGGGTCTGGGACACCAGGTGAAGGTTAAGAAATATCACATAGCTCCTTTTTCAATAGGACTAGGGGTGGATCTAGACAATATAAATAAGTCAGAAATTAGATTGTTTTAACAAAAGAAAAAATCTCTATGGATAATCGTGTTTTAAAATTTCTTGCTCTCTGACGCCATCTGGTGTTGAATGTTTATAGCACATTCAAATTGCTGTTTCTTTACTAATGTAGCTTGGAGCTCAGACACAATCCTGAGTCTTGTTGGTCTACTTTAATTAGTCCTCTTTCTTTTTTTTAATGACAATAGTCTCCACTTCTTATGCCATTATAGCTTTATTTTGGAGCCCTGTGAACTGTAGTACCCTGCAGGATGCCTTGTGAATGAAAGCTTTCTAAAACAAAGAAACTCTTCAGAAAGTTCTGGGAGGAATTGTGAGAAAATTCTTTGGCAGATTTGAAGATTTGTGAAAAGTGGCTGAGGAGACGGGGAATAAAAAGTAACACCCAGAGACAACAGTGGAGGAGAAAACATCACATTCACATTTCATTTACATCCCTGTTTTCAAGACCAGCACATCTGAGGCCTCATACAAATTTGATAAATTCACAACAAAATGCAACATGCCAATTTCTTTCTCTGCTCAAAGGGGAATTTACAATTTGTGAGCATTGTGGTATACAATAAGCAGTTCCACATGTCTTAGATTTGCAGTTATGCTTTTTTTTCCTGTATGCTCTCTCGTTAATGATATCTTAGCAAGTATTTTCTTTCCAGTGAAAGCAATAAGCAATGTCTGTATTGAATTAAGCCTTTAATAAAGAAGAAAAGTTATAGCTTAAATTCAATAAAAATAGATCTAAAACCAAACATTGTTCTCATGATATAATTTTGCCCAATTTTATTCTATTTCAAATAGATAAGGAATCTGAAATACATAATATTACAGTACTGAGCTGGATGCAGCCTTTTATGTTATAGTTCTGAATTGGTGTGAGAAGCTGCCCTTAAATCTTTCTTTCTTTCTTTCTTTCTTTCTTTCTTTCTTTCTTTCTTTCTTTCTTAGTTTATAAAAATACATATAGCAAACAATCCCCACATACACCCACCCTAAAAAACAAATCACGCTTGTACAATGTAAATAATACAGTCAAAAATAAAGTATGTTTGTAAACAGTTAAGTACAGATTACATCAGTTAAGATGGCTTCAACTCTATGCCTTAGCAGGTTGTCTCATTTTATCGGGCTACTGCTCCTTTGAACTCAACTCCTATGTCCTTTTATCTCCTTTCATTTCACTGAGTGCCACTTTTATTCAGTGAAAAGCATGCCGCAACTTCTGTGTGACTTTGCAAAAGTCCTCTCAAAAAGTTTTCATCATATTGCAGACCAAGAAAGAAGGGGTAGATAAAAACACAGGATATTACATTTCACAGATTACCAAACTCATCATCCTTACCATCTATGGCAAACAAACCAACGAACCCATCTTGGATTCTTGAGAGATACAGTGGCCTTGGGTGGCATGCCTCTGGCTATCAAGAGATCTTGCTATTTTGCTTCTGCTTTGAATGGAATGCAGAGAAAGATCCTGTTTGTTCAGGCCTATAGTCTGATAGCGGTGATAATCAGGCTCACTGTCGTACGGTTGTGGTGTGTGTGTATGTGTTTTATTATATCCCTGACTGTGCTTCTGCTGGCAGTATTCCAAGGACATTGATCACTAGAGCCTGAAACTTGCTGAAAGCCCAAGGAGAGGCAAACTGCATTTACTTAGGTGTGTAGTGAATTTTCATGATCTAATCAGATTAAAAAATATATCCAAGGATCAAAGGCAACACGCACACACACATGCCTTCGTTGAACATGCCCCAAAGATATTTTTCCCAGCCTGATCTGGAGGAGAGTGGGAGAGGGAGAGAGAGAGAGAGAGAGATAATATGCACAGGAACATTAAGTTTGATAATGTGCTCTTCCTCCTTTCCTCCCTCCCTATGTTAGCACAGCATTTACTGATGTGCTTGATCCTGCAGTCAGCAGTGAATTCATTCACTATTTATTAAGGGAACATTCCCCTTGATATGCACAAATGGTAAGAAGACCCTTTGAGCATCATTTTGTGCATCCCATCTGGGGGCACACACAAGTAAAGAGCTGACAAGTAATCTCCTGCTGACATTTGAGAGCCTGTCCTGAAACAGTGGCAGCAGATTTTCTATGCACACATTGGCCCTTTTTAAAACACATTAAGCATGCAAGGCTTCATCTGTTACCTCATATTGAATAATGAAGGTAAGGTGTCTTTGGAAAGTCAGAAATCTCCCAAGGAAAGAAGCTTGCCTGCTCGTAGGAACATTACACAAAGCTGTGGTACAAAACCTTGAATGTCGACTTCACTGTGCAGAATGAGACCTGCATATCTATGTCATGCAGCCCTGCTGGGTACTATAGTGATTACCAAATGACTGGAATCATAGACGCTGGCTCCAGGGGGCCAAGACACTGTAGGTCCCTTAAAAAAAATATTGAGGGGGCCAGGCCTCCTGATTGTTGGAGCTGGGCATGGAGCGACACCAGGACATCACACAACGTCAGGTTGTTGTGTCGGGCCTCCTCAGTGTGCTTCAGAAGATGCTGTCTCTGACTGGAATTGGTAGGATGAATTTCCTGCAGTGAATACTAAAGTAAACAAGACATTAAGTGCATTGTGGGCATTTCGCGTGCATGCTTCAAAGAGCAAGATTGGGGCTGGGCTGTGTGGGGATGAGAGGATAGCCAGTGGTGCCAGCTATATGCGCCCCTTCCAAAATAAGTACCAGCCTATGGTAAGATGTGGCGGTGTGAAGATTTAGCCCCCTTCGCTTCCCAATGAGTCATGGTTTCAAGATTGCTTTATATATAAAAAAATTTATATGTAAATTTTTTTATTCATTTTTCTTTTTCATTCATTACATACATCTCAAATTCTTAACAATTACTATATATTCCTTCCTCCCTCCCCTCCAAGACTTCCCCCAACTTGCGCTTCTGGTTTGTTTCTATTTTCACCCACTTTGCTATCTCTTAACAGAAAAAGTTATTAATAACATAACATCAAACCTAAAAATATAAAAATAAAAGTAAACACACCATCATATTTCACTATCTTCTAAACATTTTCTGATGCTGATAATGTGAATGTTTATTTAAATCCTGCCATCAAGTCTATTGACTTTCTTTGTTTCTGCAAATATAATATGAATGGTTCCCAATCTTTTTCAAAGTCTCTGTTGTCTTTTTCTCTTAGTCTATCTGTCATTTCTGCCAGTTCTGCATAGTTCACAGTTCATTTCTATTGTGTCTGTACGTTACTTTTAGTCATTTCCTGGAGTAAAACATCATCATCATCATCATTATCAATTTTAATTCACAGGTATGATAGGTTTGACTGTGTTTTTAAAT